TTCTAGTCCTGCCTTAGACATGAAAGACAGTTGGGTGACTTTGGGCCAACCACCAGGAGATGGTGAGTTCTAGTCCTGCTCTAGGCACAAAAGCTGGTTGGCTGACCTAAGGCCAGTATCTGTTTTTCAGTCCAACTTACCTGGGGAAAATAAAAAGAGGAAAGAGTACTAAATATGTTTTACCTCATTGAGTGACTTACAAAGTAACAAAGGCAGGATAGAAATCTAATAAATAAGAATAAACAACCAAGCCATGTCCTTGATCACATCTGATTTAATCCTGAAACTTCTTTTCAGTTCAGCTACGTATGATAGAGATGGGAGAAGCAGAACACCATATAACAATATTCATAATGCTCCGTTTACACAAAGAAACCACTTGTCACATAAACAAGCAACCGCGATACTGTTTTACCTACGAAGAAACCCAAAATCAATTATACCAGGAGAGCTTTAAGGGGAGGGAAATTCTCAGCCGGCAGGAAGTGTGAACGTATTCGGCAGCACTGTGTTAGCAGGCTGCTTTGCACCTTGTTCTCTTCCCGAGATTAATTGTTTTACTCTGTGGAGAATGACAGTGAAAATGCACCAAGCTGAGTCATTTCAGGGCAAACTCTTCGGAGGTGCAAATTTCAGCTCTTCCGAGTAAGCAGGGTTTCCCCTCCCCCCGTCCTAATGCTGCTCCCTGCTGTCGGCAACGTGCCAGTCGATGCAAGCAATGAATTACCCGCTGTTGTGTTTTTTTTATACCTGTAATGAGTGTAAGGTGTCAGGTTTGGGATCTCCAACAACTGAGCATTCGACTCCTTCTCCACTTCGCTCAGAGTTATCCACTCTTCTTCCTCTCCTATCACGCCAACCTGCGGAAAGAGGAAGGGGAGAGTTTATGCCCTTGGATGACCACGCACCCAAGCAGAATGACAGAGTTTGGAAGGGGCCGTGGAGGTCTTCTAGTCCAACCCCATGCTCACGCAGGAGACTCTATACCATTTCAGACAAGTGGCTGTCCAGTTTCTTCTCGGAAAACCTCCGGTGATGGAGCACCCATAATAATTTCTGGAGGGAAGACATTGCACTGGTTGATTGTTCTCACTGTCAGGAAATTCCTTCTTAGTTCTACTTTGCTTCTTTCTTTAATAAGTTTCCATCCATTTTTTTTTCCTGCCTTCAGGTGCTTTGGGGGATAGCTTGACTCCCTCTTCTTTGGGGCAGCCCCTTAGATATTGTACCACTGCTACCATGTCACCCCCCAGTCCTTCTTTTCATTAAACTAGACACACCCAATTCCTGCATTCTTCTTATGTTTTTGCCTCCGGATCCCTAATAGTCTTTGTTGCTCTTCTCTGCACTCTTTCTAGAGTCTCAACATCTCTTTTTATATCGTGGCAACCAAAACTGAGTGCCCCACTCCAAGTGCAGTCTTACCAAGGCGTTGTTAAAGTGGCATTACCAACATTTTTTTCGGCTCCCAATAGCAACTCAGTGTTCCTGGTAGGGTCCCTCCTATGTGTTACAGTCACAAACTCGACTTGATATTTTCAAACGAATCACCCAAAGTTAGGAAGAGGAGGAATAAATGCCGTCGGAGGGAGAACTAAGAACTTCACAGGATGCTCTAAACACCTTGAAAGATGGGCAGGACACCAACGTAATATAGTAAATATAAATTCAATTTGCATCCGTGGGCCAAAGGAGTAGTGAACGAGCTTAGAGTCTCCAGTGGGAAGTGCCACAGAGAGGAGGGGGGAAAAAAAATCAAAGTAACTGGAATGGTGGCAACAGTCTGAATGTTATCTTTGTTCAAATGTTGTCCTTCTGGAGCAACAAATGGAACTGCCTTGGCAAGCACTGAGAAGTGGGGTCCCCTGTGTGCATTCAAACCAAAGGCAGGTTTTTGTAATTAGAGGAGATTATTGGTACGGTCTCAAAGGGAACAGCTGACTCAGGACATGTCTAGAATGGCGAAAGATTCCTCCTTGAAAAGCCAGCTGGATGACAGGTGGTGAGATACCTGCCTATGGGGCTCAAGAGGCCGCAGACAGAATGCCTGTGATCTGGGGACGATCATTATGTCTAGTGCACCTGGATATTGCCCAGAGCTGTGCCACAATAGTGACAAAGGCAGCCGAGCACATCGCCTGCTCTCAGTAGAAATGCCTAGCAAAGCATCCGGAACTGAGCTAAATTAATTGGCCACCAGGAAAAGGAACACACAATTCACCTCCTGAGATGGAAACACAAAGAGAAGAGACAGAGCTTCTCCACCGGGTTGGCAAAATCTCTCTTTGTGATGTGTCCCAGTTACACGAGTATCATCCTACTATCAAAAGGAGCCAATGGGCAGGTGATGTTCTCCTTAGATGTCGCTCAACAACCACGGCTGTTGGCCTCTCTGGATCTAGGAGCTGAGCTACAATATGGGAGAAGGCATCTAAGATAAGATCGTCCTCCACTTACAACAGTTGGCTTAGTGACCGATCAAAGTTATAGCGGCGCAGAAAAAAAGTGAATTATGACCGTGTTTCACAGTTATGACCTTTGCGGCATCCCATGGTTGCGTGATCAAAATTCAGGTGCTTGATCTCCTTTTATAACTTTCTGACAAAGAAAGTCAATGGCGGAGATGGATTCACTTAAGAGCCAGGTTACTAACTTATCAACTGCATAGAGTGTTTTTTGGTCAGAGCAACAATTCCCATAATTGGTAGACCAGGTTGTCCTAACAAAAAAACACTTAATCTTTCCCCTGGTATAGCCAACAAAGGGAGGAGAGCCTATGGCTTAGAGGTTAATACATCTATATAATATGCAAGTAGCCCGGGTTCAAATCCCAGAAGGCTATGTCTAGCTGATGAGAGCTAAATAGCTTGAAATAGATCTGTACTAGTCTCCCTTTATTCCTTTGTTGGTAAAACATAAATTCAACACTTATCAACTGCATGTTTCACTTAACCGCTGGGGCAAGAATGGTGTCATGCCCCTGTCAGAGTCTGAATCTGAGGAGGAAGCCGAACAGCTGACAGGGAGTGGGAGTGTGGCTCCGTTGGCTGTGGAGGAAACTGGGGAAGGGCAAAGTCTGGCTGGGCAGAGCAGGGCAGAAGTAGAACAAGGGAGAGGGAATTCAGAGGAAGATCCAGGCCCACCCCCTCTTCATTCTAGGGCACACAGGGAGGAACGGAGAAGGGAGCAACATGGTTGCATGGCTTACGGGGGAGGAAAGGGCCCTGATTCCCTTCATTAGCCACAGCTGGAAAGACAGGTGATAAGAAAGGCAGGCTGCATGTGGCAGGCTACTGGGAGCAAACATGACTTTACCCTGTGTTGTTGTGGCTTATCTGTGTTCCTGGCATCTTCCCAACCATGTTGAGTTTTGCCGTGCCTTCAAGCCTGAAATTCCTGCTCCTGCCCTGCTAAACTAATTACCTCAGTTTGGCTTGTTTGGACTTTTAAGTTACAGTTTGTGTTTACTCTGTTTTGGGCTTCATTTTCTGCAGTCAAAGGCTGTTCCTGGGAGAGTTTTTCTCCAGCCAGAAGGTAACCTGGACATTGGGGGCAAAGTTGGAGATAATAAGGAGATTCTTATTGAATATCTGACTGTGTTGCCTTTGTGCCATGCCCCAGGTCATCACAAATGGTCCTAAAATGGGACTTAATTGTGGTTGTAAGTCAGAGGAGGATCTGCTAATTTCTGGCCAGAGTCACAGAAATGAACCCAGAAAAATTGGAAGGAACACAGGAAGCTGTTAAACCACTAGTCCTCTTGTATAGTATTTTCTGCATGAAGACGACCTCAGAAAGGTTTAAAAAAAAATGCCAAGCTTTCAAAATGATGCTCTCAGCCTACCATTTATAATTTATAAGGTTTATATTTCAAAACCACTGAAATTGGGCATATCTCGGCAATCAGCCTGAATGTCCGTGTTTTTCCTTTTTACAAAAGAGCCCTTAAATTGATTCAGCTGGTTTTGATTTAAAGTTCAGCAAAAGCATAAAATTTTCTGAATCCCAGGTTCTTTACTTACCAAGTTCTAAAGGGAGTATGACAATAAGAGGCCATTTTACACAATGGATGAATCTTAATAGCTTTGTTGACACTGAAAATGTGTCACGTGGGAACAACCAGTTCCACACGTGAGGAGTGCCGTTAACTATTTTTATTGCTCAAGCTTTTAATCCAGGGATCTTCTCAGACAGGTGGTTTGCATCTGAGTAAGACTAGATAAGGCTCCATAGCATTCAAGGGGGCTCAGACTTTGTCCTTTTGTGCCTACATAATGATTACACGCTAATTCCCAGTTTGACTCCTCCACTTGGCTCGCCCAGTCTCTCACCAACAAAATCCAACTTAATCTATTGAAACCGATGGAGAAGTCTGTCTGTAAACCCTTAACTGTGCCCTATGGACGCGTGGCTATCAAGCCAGTCATATTTCAATGCCTTCGATGCCCAAATTGTAATGTAAATTTTGGAAATAATTGGGAAGAGAATTTTGAGATGTATTACTTCAAGTTCTGTAATGCATCACATACCTAGAGGCATATAAAATCGCACAATGCATCAAAAGATACTTGTCTTTCAACATCCAGCTTTTCATTATTATCCTCCGTTCCTATGTGCAGCTGGAAGGCAATGAAAAATTAATTCTAATATGTTTTAATAGACCTTTTAAGAAGCATATCGTGTGGATTCCTCTGTAAATCAGGATGATGGCGTTACAAGGTCAAAAACATTTTGACCTGCATGAAATAAGGCACATATAACTCCATTCTCCTTTCACATAAAGTGGAATAAAAAAAGTATGAACACACTGATATTTTTTTTTTTAAAAAACCAAAGATTTGGAGAACCTAATACTTTTCATGCAAGGGAAAATCAGATCGGGGAAAAAGAAAGATAATAGGAAAAATTTATGAGTGTTCAAAAAAACAAAAAAACAAAGAAAGGAAAGGAAAAAAGAAAGGAAAATAATAGAAAGATATCTCGTTTCCCACCCACCCCCAAAGTAAGATTATTCTGAGCCAGCCCAGAAAGTTTAACAGGAGTCCATCTTAATATGTTTAGGTCAGCCCTATTTATTTTATTGGATCTCTACTGAGAATTCGGAAATGGAACGAGCTACATGTTACTCCCACCCTGTTTTCCCCTAATCCAGAGTCTTACCCCGGTCAGATATTTCAGACTTCCCTTCGTCTATTGCAAATGTTGCATTTCTTCTATTTGTAAATTGATTTGTTTGATAAACTGCATTCTTATCATGATGAATTGCGTAGACTTTGACAGCCTCCCTAGGCGTCAACAGCTGGGTTTTGACCAGTGGCCTTGAGTAGTACTTTTGATTGCTGATGTAGCTTTGGGAATGGGTCTAGATTTTTAAAAGGAAGGACTTAAATAAGAAGAACTTTCTCTATAATCTACTAGCAATAATACTGCCACACAACCATTGCCTGTCTATCTATCTCCATCCATCCATCCTCAATCATCTATCTACCTACATACCCATCCAGCCATACACCCACCTACCAATCATCTTTCATCTGTCTATCATCTGTTTGTCTCTGTGTCTGTCTGTCTGCCTGTCTCTATCATCTATCTATCATCTAACTATCTATCATCTATCTATCTATCTATCTATCTATCTATCTATCTATCTATCTATCACCGATATAACCCCGTCTTACAAGAAGTGACTCTGAGAACCGTACAACAACCAAATAAAAACAACAATGATGTAAATACAAACATTGCATGAATATTTTTTTAAAAAATCAATGTTGAAAACCAAGATATACTAACCAAGAAAATATGTAAGCCAGAGGCAGGGAAAGAGTGAGGACATCATTAGTGGAGCCATCTGAAAACC